AGAAGGAAAAGGAAGAGGGAATAGATAAAGGAGGGGAATAGAGGGGAATAGAGGAAGGAGGAAGTAAATGGGAAGGAAGAGGGAGGCTCCGCAGTCGACAAGTATCCTGAGGCGCTACCTTCCCCCCGCCCCCTCCCCGCTCTCCTTTGAAACATTTTCCTCTGTCCCACGTGTCATGAGAAAGATGACGTGTCCGCCGTAAGGGCATGTCTTATCACGTAAAATATTGGGCCACTGATCTGTATTGGGCTATTCTTCCTCAGGGATGTTTTCTTGAAGAGTACGAAGATGATACCTGGAAGATGTGCATTTCGGTAGGTGTGGCCGATCGTTTATTACGTGTATCTTCCCGGACGATGAACAGCAAGATGTTGTTGTAGGTGTCGCGAGGATCGCTGGATACATGTGCTGTTGGTTGTTCTATCAAATCCAGGGGGAACTGCTCGACAAGATCCTGAAAGGCAGTGATTGTAACAATCCTTAAGAATTCGAGGGCGAAAAAACTCTTTAAAAACTTCACGAATAAAAGTATTAGCTACATAGGAGTGTGGTGGTTTAACAGGAGAACAGGATAACAACTCTTGCTAAGGTTCCTTTCACATTACTTCGGAAAGTTTACACAAAATAAAACATAAATAAATTCTTTACAAGAATGCCATTTTATGGGCAAAAGTCGACCCCACTCGCGAGGTTGACTCCTACTCTTCCATTCCAAGTGTGTACTACCCGCTACGCTACCGAAGCCACCGATGACCCCGCTTGGAAGAAATATATTTCTCAAAGGTGAAAGAAAAAAGACGGCCTCGGGGTGTAATAGTTAGCACATCAGCACAGTAAACGTGAAGTCCAAGCTCGATTTTCGGAAGGAGACGAGTGACAAAGGTTTACGAATACATTTTACATTTTTTATGTGAGCCTATATCATATTTTATATACATTTTATTCTTTATATTTACAGATTTGCGATTTCGTTGCCAACATTTTTCGAGGTTCTGGGCTACCTCCCTATGCTGTTTAGCATATCTACGGATACTAACGATATAACTTGCAAATTTCTGTCCCCAAATTTTCTAAAGAAACGATTCAAAAGTGAAAAGAATTATGCGATCTGATGACTCACCCCGTTTTCATCCTCGACAGTGACGCCATTCTGCCGAAATCTGAGCACTAGGGGCTGAGCCCAAATGGCTGAATTCTTCTCCATCTGCTTCAGTTTACGAATGCCATCAGCAGGGAATGTGAGCCCAAACTGGCGTCCGACGGCGAAAGTCGCCAAATGCTCAACGTAGTACGATGGAGTCACGTCATCGATGCGTGATCCCATCATGGAACGTGGCGCTAAATGAAGTACAAGATTAGTGAATGATGGCGCTGCTTGGCGCCGACTGGCCAACAAGCAAAACGTCAAGAAGCCGGTTATCGACTGCAGCGGCAGCCGACATCGTCGTACAATTACTCGCCACTACCACCAACAAAACGAAATGAGCTTTCAGATCGTCGACAATTGGCCTCAGCCCGCGACCGACCTCACACGAAATCTATGTCGTTGGGGCTACCTCAAACCCTTTCACACTCTCCAATTTAATTCTTGAAAACGCTCAGTCATTTTCGAATGACTTCCTTAAAAGACCGAAAGTCCAGGCACAACGGTGAAGGCTAATCAAGGGATTAAGAAGAACAACGAAGAAAAGCTCGAATTTAAAGGTGGACAGGCGGTTTTTCTTCGATAATACCACCACCAATTTCTGTCGCGGTGCACTAACACCCAGCTCATTCACGGGTTTGCCCAAAAATGATTGATAACAGCGATCAATAGCTATTAAACGGGAAGTCCCCGAGTAGCAACTCGTCAAGGCTAAGCGATCCCGCGCCGATCGCTGTTGTTACAAATGTCAACACTTACTCGGAACCAGATTCCGGGAAAATCAGTCACAGTACAGCCAAGCGCCTGGATAAGTACTACTAAGAAAGTACTGCAGGTGAGAAGGAACAAATAAAGAAAAAACAACTCACGTGCTGCGCTTGACATATCGTGATAGGGCATGTGTGTCTGGGAAGGATGTCGATGTGAATTCGACGGTGATGGAGCACTAGAGGGGGGTCCAGCTCCCACACGAGAGTAGTAGTACCCCCCGGAAGGAGGAGGCCTGCAACAGAAAAATTAAAAACTCCAAAAAATCAGAAGAATTTCTGAAAGGTTGAATAAAAAGCTGAGATGCCTATGCCATCGAGAAGAAGAATTTTTGAGACAATTTTTTATGAGCAGTGATAGTAATGTAGCACTGGCAGTGGTGTGAGCTGTGGAGAATGGAGAAGTGATAAGAGCACATAACGACTGTTTGGCGCCTGCCCGAAATGGCACCGACCAGCAAAGGGGAAAGGCTTCCAGCGCTGCCCTATCAAACTCTTGTCGGACGCACTCCCATGCAAACCGGGGTACATCCAAATCGATTGAAAAGTAGAGTATAAAAATCGAACCGAATTGGCGTTTCAAAATGATTTTCCAGTTCTGTGTAGCGTTGGTGGAGCCAAAACGGCAACACATCATGAACTGGGGATTTTGGTTGAGTCTGTACGACCTCCCTAAGGGGTGGCTTAATACGACTACCCCTCCCCCTTTCTTCCGTTTCGGTTTGTTAAGTTTTTCCAGGGCACGTATCGCGGATGAAGAAAATTTTTGGAAAGTACGACCCTCTCCCCTTATGGCGTCCGTAAAACAAGAGAAATGATTTATCAAAAATAATTTCCTTAGACCACTTACGACCCCTCTCTCCGACCAAATACGATCCCCCTGTTGGGGGTCCCCAACGATGATGCGCCCTGGAACGAGCTGTTGAGCGGGGGGGGGGGGGGAAGGCGTACACACAAATGTGAACAGGAAAAGCGATAAGTCAGAAGAGTAGAGGAGTATTAACGCTCCGGAAATCGATTAGGTCGGGGTATTTTAAGTCGAGTCCGTGCTATCTTTTTTAGGGAGTCGGATGACCCCCTTCCTAGTTCTCCATTCTGATCGAGCTGCTGGGCGGAGGGGGTAACCGAGTGGGAAAGCTACCTCTCCCCGCAGCAGCTGTCAGAATGGTAGGAACTGGAAGGGGGGTGTACAGATCCGCTACAAAAACTCTCCCGCTTTCCCTGATACGAGGGTTTTTACTTAGTATTTAGTCCTACTCAGCGATTTCAAAATTTTCCTATTGTTACACAATAAAAGTTTTGCTGCAGGGGGGAGAGGATATAATAGGTAGAATGAAACTGAAAAACGCGAAAGTCAGTAACCTTTCTCACTCTCTCACAAGGCCAGAAGGGATATACGACATCCCCGCCCGAACAACGAGCAAATACAAGCCCCCGTACATGAAACAAGAAAAATCAATTATTAATAAAATTTTCTCAAACCAAATACGATCCCCCTGTTAGGGAATCCCCAACGATTATGTGCCCTAGAGACAGTACTGCCTATTTCAGGTTTATGTTTCTTCCAGATGCCACACGAGGACAGGAATTAGTGCGATTTCGGTGAGCAGCAACTCCAGCTGTCGAGATCAATTTAACTCACTTTTGATAAGCGTCGTTTCCGCGTCGCATTCTTCACAGGAATCTGACCGACATCTCTGAAAGCAGCATTCCATTAGACGACGTCATAATCATTGACAATTCTTTATGCAAACGAAAATCCACGCTGAATACGATAAAAGGTAGGAAAACAAAGGGGATGAATCATCAACGACAAGCTGGAAACAGTATGCAAATACCAGTTCATAAGTACACATTCGTTCTCGTGGAACATCAAGAAATCACAATAGGCTTAGTTTCGTTACACAACATCGCGACTTGTCCCCGAGCGAGAGAAGAGTACAAAACCTGGGAAGAGTACAAAGTATTCCTTGCTATACGCAGCCTCTCAGAAAAAAACCCACACACTCTTATTTTCGCTACGTCCAATACGTTTTGCTCTGCCCCTCTGGCTCCTCTTTTCCCAGCCCTTCCAGTAACCTGCTCTGCTCCAACTACTTTATCAGGAATTTTCGGCACCGGCATTTTTGGT